TTTTCCTGGGCTGGCAGTTCTTTAATAGCAACCAGTGGAGGCTCCATAGAACTCCTTTTCACATTATGCTCTAGCAGTAAAGTCAGTTATACCTTTTTATTTTATTGGCTTTTTGCCTCCTCCGTTAATTTTTTTGTCTTGTCTTACAGACTGTTACTCCTTTTCACCTCTAAGAGTCCTAACCTTTCCCATGGAAGCTGTTCCCTATCTCTTAGTGTTCTTTTCTGGGTGCTCCTTTTGTTACTGTGTTCTCGTAGATAGGATACTATATGTGGTTCTGGTTACTAAATGTGGGTTCATATAATGGCTTAATGTTTCCTAAACCTGCCTCTATCCATCTAGTATTACTGATCCTCAGCAGCAGTAAAAGGCAAATTGTTTCAGGGAATGACTCACTTACTCCTACATATCCCTCCTAGGAGGAAATGCCTGATTTAGAACCCATCAGGTTGTAAGACAGCCAAAGTTATCTTTCCCCCATGTGACTACTTTTGAAAAGTTATCATGAAGCATTTTGAAAGTCCTTCTCTGCACTCAGACTTAACACTAATATATTTGTTTTGTGGGCAAAGATGTTTTATCTGTATATTTTAACTACATTTTATAAATGCCCTTTGCTTAACTGCAGAAGTATCTGCTGTCCTGTATCAAAGAGCAGGTGAACTTGGGTGCAGTCATTCCTGAAAGAAGAGAGGCTAGGCAGAGCAAGAAAACATGATGTGAAATAGAGGGAGAAGTTTTTGGGTGCTTTTTTTTTAAATTAAATACACACACGTCCTCCTGAACAACACAGCAATAGGCACAATGACCAGGCTCACTTTGAGCAGCTGCTGTGCAGGGCTTGAAGTACTTAGTGGTGCTATAGGGTGAAAAAGGTGATTACCCTCAGAATCTCATTTCTGCTTCATGATGCATAGCAATGCAAATTTCTCCAGAAGGAAGAGATCCTAATCCAGTGATGAAAGCTCTGCCCTGTAGTGGAGTGTGTTACATAGACCAGTTTACCACCCTGAAGCTCTTCTTAACTGGTTAGCAGAGCATGCAGCAGTCAGATTAAGCACAAGCTGTGTGGTAACTTCTGAGAGTGCCCAACAGTCCATTTGCAGTAAGTAATGCTCAGTGACCAAGGGCTTCCTATGGAGCTATTTTTGCCCACTTTGAAGAGCTGAAGGTTTATACTGCCAGTGTCCCTTTTCAGAAAGCAGGTGAGAGAAAAGCTAGAGGAGGAGCCAACTGCACATGCAGAATGAGCTGAATCTTTTAACTGAAGACAACAAATTGAAGCACTTCAGTTTGGGTTTTTTATTATTATTAAAACCAGATTGGCCTTGGCTGAAAAACTGACTTACTGTTCTGTTAATTCAGAGCACATTTATTTGTCACTGCTGCTCTTGGCTTTTATGTTCTTAGTAACACCAGTCTGTTTTCTGTCCCCCTTCAACTCAGACCATGACTTGCTTTATTGTGACCAGAAGCAAATGGCTTAACACAAGAAGCGTCATCTCAGCTGTACTATTTCACAGTTTTTCCTTGCAGCACTCAAATCTGTTTTGCACTACCACTACAGGCAAGTTTTTCAAAGACACTAAAAAAAACAATTACTCCAGAGGATGAGCATGAGTTTCAGGGTAAGTAGCTTAACAGCTGTTTTTATCCCACTCTTCTCACTGCAAACTCCACTGGGGCAGTGGCTCCCCCAGAACTCTGATAGGATTCCCTCTTTGACATTTTATGGTTGGACTTTATCTTAAAGGTCGTTTCCAACCTTGACGATTCTGTGATTCTGATCACTTTTTCAGTTTGTTCAGAACTTTGCTTAGGCACATTCAACAAATACACTGTTTTGTACTGATAACTGTACTGACTGCTCAGTCAGTTCCCAAGCCTTTCTGTGATCTGTGAAGGCACACTCATTCTCTTTCCACACAGTAGCTGCATTAAGTTCTTGTCTCAAGTTGATCACTGCTGTTAGCAGTCAGTCCAAATATAAAGTCTTCTGGCAGGGACTGTGAAGTCATCTCTGCTAACTGGTCATCGTAGGAACCAAGAGTCCACAGCTTCTCCAATTCATAAACCTCTCGTGTCTCTGGCAGCATGAAATGTACCACTATGTTACCTGTGCAGAACAGAAATTCACAATAAATTAATGTGAACTGTAAAGCACTACTACACCTTCAGCTGTGCAAAGAGTCTTCCACCCTCATTCTGGCTCAATAGAACAGGTCAGCTGATAGAGGTATCTTCTTAAATTGCTGCTTCCAGTTCTTAAACAGTGTTGGGAATTGGTCAGTCCTTCAAAAGACTCCAAGACTATACTCACAAAAATGAGGCACAATACTTCACAATAAGACATTATCACAGGACTCCAGACCAAAGAAGTTCTGACTTCTATGGGACAGAAGAAAATAAGTCAAAAGGAATTCTACTTCAAAGACTCCCACAGGAGACAGATGGATTTTCAGCTTGCTTTTATTACCAACAACATCCACCTATAGCCAAGTAATTTTCTTAGTTGTGTTGCTCACACTTTTCAGGTGGTTTTTATAATGAAATAGGTCCAAACTTTGATAAGTTTTTCTTAGATATTTCCATTCTGTGCAAACAACAGTTGAGAATGTTTATTCCAGTGTTTGTCTAATGCACTTTTTTTTATGTCCTTAAATTTCAATTGGTTTTTAATTTTATGCTCTTAAATTTTAATTGGTTTTCAGTTATTACAGTCAAGTATTATGACAGTTAAGTAACCAAGGCTTAATATCACTGGCTGCACTGTTCCTCACTCATCTATCCTCTCTTTCAGGTCAAAACACCAAGTTAGAGGGTGATACTCTAGAGTTAGCAGTGAAGGAGAAATGCCTTTTGAATGCAGTATTTTAAACTTGAGTAGTTTTGCACTTGTAGAATAAAGAATAACACTCAATTTCTTAGGACTGATGTTTTACCCCGTGTCATGGTATAATCTGGACAGTGAAAAAGCCTGTTTAATAGTTCACTACTAAGGCAGTATACAGCAAGTACCCACTTAACCAAAAAGGGGTTCTAGAAACCTGAGAAATTTGACAAAAGTTGCTTTTTTTTTCCCCACTACTGTTATCTCCAATTTATTAAAACGTGTTTTAGCCACTAAAGAGTATTTTTTCTCAGTGCCAAAGATATTTAATGAACAATCATTTAATATCTCAATGAGCTCAAGCAACAGCTGGAATTCCAAAATAGGAAAATATTGTGAATTCCCCATAGCAACCAGGGTTCATGGTGAGATGCTTCTGTCAACAAAGAGCTCATGCAGAACTTTGTACTTGTCAGTTTCACAAATATTTACCAAAATCAATGCACAGCCAGTCATCTGTCTCTTTTCCTTCAATCTGAGTATGAGGAGCACTTTCTTCTCTGAGATGCTTGTACTAAAAAAAAAAGTAATGGCAGGAAATTAGGAATTTGCATTTATTTAAAAGCACTAGAACTTAACAGAAAAGCTAGATTTTGCTGAGTTGTTCTAAAGTTTAAATGAGTTAGATTATTTCATGTTGGTTCTGGGGTCTGCACAAAAAAAAGAATATACACTTGCAGTACTGGAAGATAAGTACAGATTTCTCAGTGGGATTTAGTATCAAATCTGGAACCTAATGCTCTGAATTCCCATACAGTTATCCACGAATTCTGTAGGTTATCCGTATTTTATCAAGATGAATATTGAATATAACTGCTCAGCATTACAGTAGTCTTTCAGTTACTGGGTTCCTAGAACTGTCACTACCACTAAGTTTTATTTCCGATACCTTTCACTGGTGTTTTACACTGGCTAGTTAAGGATGCAGAAATGGAAGCTTATCCTCTTCTCAGAGGGGGAGCGGGGTAAAAAAGTTTCATCCTGTGCCATGAGGAAGGCATTCAAGCAAGCCTCTTGTCTCTGAAGTGCACATGCTCACCACTCACTGCAAGCTGGGCAAAACCAGGACAGGCACACAGGTTTCCAAGCTACGAAGCGCTGAGGGAGAGGTGAGGGGGCAGCTCAAAGCACACACTCAGCTAGGGAAAGTGGGTAGTTCCCTTTGCAACCGCCAGAGATGAGGACATTTGACAACTAGAAGCTTAAGCATGGACACTTTCAGATCTGCACATAACTTACTTGTTTCTTTACAAGAAGCCTCAGCAGAAAGGGCTCTAACAGTCCTTTCTGCCATGGAAGGCTAAACACAAAATAACATATACTGGCATGGCTGGCTAAGAAATGAGTGCCCCCTCACTGGGAATGCAATTATCACCAAACACAACTGTTCCTGGCTGTTCCAGACAACTGGCTGGCTGCCAGATAATGACCCATTTGAAAACCAGCAGGAAAACTTTCAACCAGTACTAATTCTGAGTTACTTTCAAAAATGTTCTACCTTCCTTTCTTTAAGATGGCTTGTGAGATATCTTCAAAACCAGGTAATTGTCAAAGACTCTCTGAAAGTTGGCTTAAAACACTAAAAGCCCTGTGGTCACTGTCATCAGGCTGCGAAGGCTAATCTCTGCTACAAGTTGCCAAGCCCCATCTTTAGAGGATGTGTAAGGTAAACAGATTATAACAAAGCCCAGTGTTAGCTTCTTTCTCTAACATGAAACCAGATGGAAATGGGTAAGCAGTAGGTGGGACTTCACCATTTACAAGCTACTGGAAGCAAAGCAGGAAGATCTCACGCTACGCCTGAGCACTTCTGTGTTTTAGTGTGACTAAATCATGCACCGACATAAGCTTTTAGGTATGGTAACGGTGAAGCTCGTCAGCTGCCTGCCAGTACTGAGCACCTGCTCTGCTTTACATCTTAAACTTCAGCTTATTTTTGCCTAGAAAACTTTCAATGTAAGACAAGTTCAGCCACTCCTATGTACTTGGCCAGGCTTCCCGGTTTTTCAGGAGGCCCAGGAGGGACCCGATGTCTCCCCAGAGGCTCTGCCCTTACAAAATCGCTGCTTTTACAGCCACCAGAGGGTGCAGCTATGAAGCACAGCCACATTTTTGCAGAGAGAGTAGTACTCACTGTTATCTCCTGGTCTGGGGGAGATGGAAAGCTGTTAAGTTGTTGCAAATGATGCAAACAGAATATATACTAAGCACTTAGATTTAGTACATTCAAATCACACTAATGCAACTTCCAGCTGAAGGCAAAAATTTGGTTTGCAAAGATGCATCAACTCCTGCAAAGAACATAAGAAACTCCCCTAACCTGTTCAGAAATACACTAAAAAGCAAAACTGTCTTTCCCTCTTTCGCTCCCTCCGCTCAAGTCTCACAGCTGAAACCAGTGGGACTGGAAGGAAGAATGTAAAACCAAGAGCCAAAGGAAAAATGGGGACAGGAAGGGAAAGAAAGTGGGTGAAGAGAAGGCAAACTCCAGGCTGAGTCCAGACAGCTGACTGAGATGAGGACTGGTTATACTCCTCACACTGCACTTTTTAAACTCAGATGGTTCTTTTCTGGCCATAAAGTTTCCCCTTCCCTGAGTCTGGTCCTCATCCCCAAGCTCTACTTGTATTTTTATTCTGACTTCTATTTCTATACTGAAAAGCTCACATTCTACCAAAGCCAAACAGCACAGGAGTTCTATGCAAGGATGGCTACCACTGCATTTCCTTTGCTCCTCTTCATGTACAGCAGGGTGAATATTAAATAGCAGTTTGCTTTACTAAGCCCAGGAGGGGATCCTGTGCCTCTTACGATGCCATCTTTTTTCCCAGTCTTACAATATACCTAGGGATCTGGAAATTTTAGGGATTAGGGTTTGAGTCAGTCACAGTGAGTATTATGAATGACTGGGAACAGCTATGACACCTGCTGGACAAAGATAAAAGTGGACACAGGTTGTCATCACCATTTCACATCACTCCTGTCCTAGTCATCAAACTCCGCTGATGTCATCACTGTTCTACATCCAGAGAGGTCTGTTTTTAAAACATATTACCTATATTTTGTGTAATGCTGCTAATAGGAAAAAGCTTACCTGGTACAACCTTATACGTGCAAACCTAAGGAAATTCCCTTTACAACATTTAAAGCCATTCCCCAAACCTCAGAGAGAGAAGCAAGAACTGTCTTACCATTTTCAGCATGTAATGTGCCATTGCATGGAGATGCCGTGTTGAAGATCCACTCACAATTATAAAATAATCACAGTATTTTATTTCTGGAGGTGGATGGATGACACAGATGTCTTTAGCATTTTCTTGCCTCAGCAGCGCTACAACAAAGTCAATGTTGAACTTCTGAAGAACAGTATCTGGAGCAGATGGAAAAATAACATAGTGGCAATTTATCTTTTTAATTGCAAAAATCAACCATTTAAGAAGTCATAAAATAGCAATTAACTGAATTATAGCCTAAGCTAGTCACTCATTATGGAGTTTGGTTTGATACTCACAATGCAACATGATCTGCAGATTTCTCAAAATCATCTTTAAAACCATCAAAGCTGAGAACTAAGCAGCGTTCTGGTAAACAATACTTTAGCACTAGATATAAGAGTTACCTAAATGAAACTTCGATGTTTGCTAACTTACTTATTTCTTGTTGGTAGCACTTAAAAGTCAATGATATCATCAAGATACTTGTCAATTAAAATGAATGAAACCTAAGTACCTCAACAGACATTATTAAAACAATAGACAAAACTGAAAATATTTCAAAACAATGCTTTTCAACAGACCCGTGACAATACACGGTGATGAAATTATTCTTGAGTCTTAAGCAGGTGAAATCAATATATTGAAAATGAAGCTAACGTGATGCAGATATTTTTTATCTCCACATGGAGTAAAGCCACTTTTTTTGTCTTTCCCTAGCTGGCTCTGCTGCAGAGGATTATGATATTGTAGACAATGCTTTAGTCCTTCAACAGTTTAAGCAAGCCAGATTAGAAACCATTAAATCTGTGCAACTACCTTGAGTTCACACTGAGAAATCAGTTTATTTATAACTTGTCCTAATTAGGTAGATGCAATTTGTGTACACATTTAAGGCATAATTAGAATCTGTCAGCAGTGCAAGTCTACCGCTATAAAGTGAACGTTAGTGCAGACCGAGCATCAGCACAAAGCCAAACTTCGTATTTCCCAATAAAAAGAAAAAAAAGCCAAACACAAGAACAATAGCTACATACAATTGCATGCATGAACGGGGGATTTGAAATTGGATCAGATTTCTGTAAATGGAAGCCTTTGAGCTCAGGGACTCATGCACTCTTTCAACTTTTTGCTGTGGTCACACATGCAGAAAATTAGCGATGGCCACAGCCCCTCCAGACGAAGTGGTTACAAAAGTTAAATATTTGCCTGGTAGCCACATGTGAAGACTCCAGTGGCTCCTCAGAGAGCGAATGGCTTAAACAACCCCGGGCACGGTCTGCCACAATGATCGGCATGGCCAGCTCCAGGCCGGAGAAGGTTTGCAGAACAGCTGCAGGGACACGCCAGCTCTGTGCACACGAGGCTTGTCCCGTAACCAGCCCCCCGTTACTGCTTCCCAACCTCTTACGTAACGGGGGGACTGCCAGTGCACATCCCAAAAACACCTCCAGCTCGGCACCACCGCCCCCTCAGAAGTTCCTGTAGGCATCCACACACAGGATCCATCCACGCCAGCCCCGAATCCTCATTTTCCCGCAGGGCAAGGAAGTCGATGCTGGCCCAGCGCCGATGCGGTGACCCCGAGGCGCGCGGTCGCAGCCGAGGTGAGGCCGATCCCACCGCACCGGGCACCGCACGGGCCCTCCCGCCGCTGCAGACGCGACTCCACGCGCCCCGAGCAGCCCCCTCGTCCCGAGGCGTCACATCTCGCTCAGGGTCACCCCCGCAGCGCGGCCCCCGCGCCTGGGCCCTACCTGCCGCCTGGCGCCGCTCCGCCGCCACCTCCAGCACCCCGGCCCCGGCTCCCGCCGCCGCGCAGCCCCCGCGGGGACTCGGCGGGGCCCGGGGTGGCGGCGGCACTGCCCGCGGGTGGGCCCCGGCCGCGGCCCCGAGCGGCCGCAGCAGCCGCCGCGCCCCCGACACCGCCCGCCACATGCCGGCCCCGCGCCCCGCCCTCTCCCGCCGCTCCGCACGGCGATTGGTCGGCGGCCGGGCCGCCCCCTCGCCTCATTGGTCCAGCCGGCCGTCGCTCAGGCAGCGGCGGCGGTCGCGCGCGCGGTGGCTGCTGGAGGTGGTGGCGGTGCCGGCGGTGTCCGCGAACAGCGAGGTCCCCGAACCGGCCTCGGGGTGTCCCCGAACCTCCGCCCAGGTGTCCTCGAGCTCCAGCGGGGCGACGGCCCTGGGACCCTGCGGCTCCGCTCGTCGGAGCCTTCCTTCTCCGAGGAGCGGGCGCTCGGGCCGTCTTGGAATCAAACAGTGGTTTGGTTTGGAAGGGGACCTTGAAGATCATCTACTGCCAACCCCCCTGCCATGGGCAGGGAGGTGTTATATGTTAGTTTAAGAATTTAGACAACTCAGTTCCAATTAAAAGTTGATAAATTTATTAAGCAAGCGATAATAAAGCAAACAGCGCTGGGTGGTCTGGGAGGGCCAGCGCCCCGCCAGAGACACACAACCCTTGTTTGAAAACCGGGCTTTTTGTACCCTCTCGATATCAGTTGTTGAATATTCATCCATTGTCCGTTTATTGCCTTAAAAGGTAATTCCCCTGCTTTGGAGGTGGGTGTTACATTTTGGTTGGTTGTAACGTATCTCCCCTGGGCTTGTACAGGGGGGGTCTTGCATCATCCCCACACTGAGGGCCTTTCTCTGTATCCACATGGCACAGAGAAATGTATTTTTATTTATAATTTGTTCCCTGTTCCCGGCCGCAAAAGATTCCCTGGTGTTAGGTCCAGACAGGACCCTTCACCTTACAGACTCCACGGTACGCCTAGAAGTTAGTAAATATACAGAAATAGTTTTTTGTTAGTACCCCCTTTTTATTTTAATTTGCTTGGAATAAAACCAGTGTCTTCACCTATCACAGGAGGGACACCCCCAACTAGACCATATTGCTCCGAGCCCCATCCAACCTGGCCTTGAACACCCCTGGGGTGGGTCATCCACAACTTCCATGGGCAACCTGTTCCAGTGCCTCACCACCCTCACAGTAAAGAATTTTTTCCTAATATCTAATCTAAACTTGCTCTTTTTCAATTTGAACCCACTCCCTCTTGTCCTGTCACTACATGCTCTTGTAAATAGCCTTACTCCATTTTTCCTATAGGCTCCCTTCAGATACTGGAAGGCCAAAATTAGGTCCCATTGGCTGAACAATCCCAATTCTCTCATTGTTTCCTCATTGGAGAGGTGCTACATCCCTCTGATCAACTTGGTGGTCATCCTCTGGATTCACTCCAACAGGTTGATGTCCTTCCTGTTTTGAGGACCCCAGAGCTGGATACAGCACTCCATGTGGGGTCTCTCCAGAGCAGAGCAGAGCAGAGGGGCAGAATCCCCGTTGGTCACACTGCTTGTGATGCAGCCCAGTTATGTTTGGTCTCTGCCAACCCTAGCCAAGCACCCCGGCTCCCTGCCAGAATCCCAGTGTGGGAATGTGGTTGTGCAGACAAGGAACACTGGGGCTGACAGTGGCTCATCCTCACCTTCCCCATCCTTGTGTTGTGCTCCTTGTCTGTGTTCTGTGAGGAGTGTCTCACCTGCAAGGTGGTAAAAGGGGAAGGGACCTTTCTTTTTCAGATTTCCTTGTGTGTGTGTGTGTGTGTGTGCGCGTGTATGTGTACGTTTTCCTGCACTACATGAAACCCGTATTTGGATTTTGAAATTTTCGTACCTCTCAACATCTTCATCACCCACTTTTTTATCCTCCCTGAATTTGGACACGATCCTGTGGCTCATTGCCTCCTTGAAGCCCCAAATCATGCAGCAAGAAACTGTGGCTGGGTATGTTTTATAGCACACACTGCTGGTTGCTCTTCAACCTTTTGGTCTCCATTGTCCTTCCTGCCACATGCAGCTGATCAGTTGGGTTTTGAGCTGCACCTGGCCTATGGGATCCTGGAGCCAGAAAACAAGTGCAGGTTGCCTTAGGGTACATCCTGAAGCTGTTTGTTTGGTACCGTGGCTTGGGAACATGGATAGCTGAGCAAGCATAAATTTTAAGGGATCACAGAAGCATAGAATATGCTGAGTCAGAAGGGACCCATCAGGATCCTTGAGTCCCACTCGTGGCCCTGTGTGGGACACCCCAAGAATCACATCATGTGCCTCAGAGCATTGTCCAGGCACGTCTTCAACTCAGACAGGCTGTGACCACTTCCCTGGGGAGCCTGTTCCAGTGCTCAACCACCCTCTGAGTGAAAAACTTTCTCCTCACATCCAACCTAAACCTCTTACAACTCATCTTCATGCCATTTCCTCGAGTCCTGTCATGGGTCATGAGAATTAAGAGATTGCTACCTGCCCCACTGCTTCCCCTCCTGAAGATGTTGAAGGCTGCAATGAGGTCTCCCCTCAGTCTCCTCTTCTCCAGGCTAATAAACCAAGTGACCAAGTGAGCAAGCCAATCAAGGATGATTTAATGTATCTGGATTTGAGAGAAAAGGTCATTCCTGCACTTTAACCAGCTCTGTGCTGTGCTAAAGTTGTTGGGCATCTGTAGAAGGGCAGATACAAAATGTGGACACTGCCATATAAACCCAAATCATATATTCCAACTCAAGTCTTGTTCCCCCTTTTAAAGTCAGTGGCTTTGGCTAAAAAGCTGCAGCTGGTTTGAAACTTGATTTTTCTTGGGAAAGTGTGTTTTACATTTGTGTAATTCCCACACAGTGTTAATGGGCACAGGGTAGTAATCTCACTGTGTTTGGTTTGCTATGGAGAATGTGGTCAAGGGCTTACAAACTATGACCCAGGCATGTCTGAGCATTTATATTTAATGTGGGTGAAACTTGTTTCCGTGCACGTCCTTCCCCTGGACATGCTGGCAATTACAAGTATGGTAAAATGAAAGAATTACCATTCAGAATGTTTTTTCCCTCTCTCACGTGGTAAAACGATGGTATTATGGTTTAAAGGGCATAGTTGTGGTTGGTTCCAGACTCTTTTTGGTGGTGTCCAGCAGCAGGATGAGGAGCTGGAACCATAAACTACAACACATAAAGTTTCTCCTCAACATTACGAAGAATGTCTTTATGTTGAGCGTGGCAGAGCACCAGAGCAGCTGCCTAGGGAGGTCTTGGAGTCTCCCCCTCTGGAGACATTCAAAACCCATCTGGACACATTCCTGTGCAACCTGCTGTAGGTGACCCTGCCTTGGCAGTGGGATTGGACTAAATAGTCTCCAGAGGTCCCTTCCAACCCTAAGAATTCTGTGATTCTGTGAGAATTATACAGACCTGTAGTGAAAAAAGGTTTATCTTTAAAGCAAATTTGACTGTGGTGAATGAAGCTGGAGGTGATCAATTATACTAATGAGCCACAGTGGCTAGATGTCTCTTGCAAACTCTTGTTTGATTCTTCTACAATTCCTTCAGAGACTGGTGGTTTTTAGCCTTGGTTTCAGCTTCAAAATACTTTTGTAAGAAAAAAATGCAACATCTGATGAATGTCTTAACTGTGTGCTATAAAAAATGTTCCAGAAGAAAAGGGGGGAGAAACAAAACAAATGGTTTGAAATAATAGTTCAGTTTTTAAAGTAATTTTTAACAAACTTGTTACCCAACTGATGTTTCAGTTTCTCTTGATGACGTGTTTGAAAAGATGTTCTTTCTATAAAAATTATGTACATTTATGTTTGATGTCATTCTTGATGTTATTTCTCCAAAGGGGGTGCCTGAAAGCTGTCTTGTAACATTTGCTGACATTCACAACTGTGTTGTTTGTCAGCTGTTCTTGCCTTTGAAGGACATGAAGCTCATTTGTATCCTGATCTGTTCTGAAATTGGGTTCCTTAGCTGTCATCTGGTTGTTGAGAAAGTCTCCTTGCTTCTCAGATTTGTGGTGCCATTGCTCTGAGTACACTTGAAGGGGGACTGCAAAATCAGCTGGATAACCAATGGCAGTACCAGGTGTGAACTAAGGGTAAAGCAAATTTGTGTTTTCTGGAGGTAGATACTGTTTTGATCAATAATTGGGCAACTCGTCAAGTTGCTTATCTCCAAGTATTTCTTTCTGAGACAAAGAAAATCTGGTCTTTAAAATCATTAGATGGTTTATTTGTCAGTGCAGCAGTTAAATTCCATTGTATAAAAGTAAAGATGTATGAAATAGAAGTTACAGCTGAAAATGCAAAATCATACTATAAAAGTGTAATAGTCTGACATGATACTTAAAGGGAGGTAATGCAATATATTCTGTATACTTAAGTTAAAGAATAAAAAAGTTCTTAACATATGCCTGAAAGCTATTTTCTGTGCAAAAGCTTATGACATCTCTGAGCTCCTAACATGCAGTGTTTTGCAGAAATAAGATGCTTTCTACATACAGCCTAGGCCAGTGGTAGCCTGCATCTTCACTAATCCTAAGATGTGACAGATTTAATGTTTTCATGCTTCATTTCAGGTCATCTCAAGCTTTCTACTGAACCCCTGTCCTGCCTCAAGCTAGAGCAACAAATACAAATTACAGTCCTGCCTGACTGATAACGGAAGACGTAACATTCAGGCAGTAATTTTTGCAGAAAATATGTTTTGTGTTTAAGTCAGAAAATAGTCCTAGATGCCCAGTTCTGTTTAGACAATGGGATGTTAACTGTAAGGAAGATGGAACAATAGCAAATACACTGCTTTTAATAATATAACTGAAATGGCCATGAAAGAATTAAAATAATGAGGGAACCTGGGGGGGGGGGGGAAGAACAAAATAGGCTGGTGAGCATTTGACGGATCTGATAAAACAGTAGGAAAGTGCGTTTATGCTTAAATCTCCTAAAAACAGCATGTATCACACATGTTTCAAGACACAGTAACTAAGCTAATTATCTTGAAATATAGATCGTCAAAGAATTCAGTGTTTAGAAATGGATTGTGTTAGGTCATTGCCAGCCTCCATTTTGGTTTTAACCCTTACTATTAACAGCAGGGCTTTTATGG